TACAAGTCAACAGTCAATTTATTTATGTGATATTGTACAGGTTTATTAGTAATGAGGTATCTACAGTACATATAATCGCTTCTTGGAGACTGCAACGAATATCTTCTACCAAAACAGATTGTCGCAAATAGAATGGACTCTGGGAAAACGTACACAGTCTTTAGTCAGCGACAGAAGTTATGAGGTACTGTACCATTACATTTTTGCACTGCACAAATGATCTGCAAAACAATTTAGGAGGGATACACTGTCTTTTACTTTTAAATGCAGATTTGTTTGAGTTTTCACCATTGACGCCACATTGGAAATACTACAGAAGGTCTCATCAAAGAGGGTCTGCATGGGGGTCTGTCTGAGCAATGACTCACCTAAGGGTAGCTCTTTAGCCACCCATCTGGACGTGGCCACAGCCAGCTGTAGGTCCTCCACCTGCAGCAGGAGGGACCTGATGCCCTCCACCAGCTTCCTGTCCAGCCCTGGCAGCCTGCGCAGCTCCTGTGAGCTGTGTTCATCAGGGGCGGCGATCACGTCTCTCGGGTGGTCCTTCACACAGGAGTTCACCATGTTCTGTATGGCTGACACGTACACCTGGTCTGTTGGCATCTGGGAAGGAAAAGAATTATGTTTACCGATTAGGAGAACATATTGTTTTTGCTCTGTTTCCTCTTCTTCTCCAAACCAAAAATCAATGACCTGAGAACCAGACTGTCTGTCACCATGGTAACTGGTGTTGGGTTACATCATGTTGTAATTTTATATCAGGAGGGATTTAGACTCTCGTCTGACCACACATATGAATGTGTTTGAGTAAGAATTAACAGTCTGAGAGCACACCATATGTGAAGGTGAACATGATGCATTTTGCTTTGCAAGTCTTTCTAGTTTTATGAATTGTTTACCTTCGATGAAGGAAAACATATACATGTAATTGCTTTTGCTGTTTCTTCTTCTTCACCAAACTCACAAGGTCAATGACCTGGATCAGATGTCTGTCACCTTGGTAACTGGTGCTGTGGCAGACATCCTGTGGTGTTGGATTTCATGTTTTTCATGGAAAATCTGAGAACCAACAGATTAAATTGGTTTGGCCTAATCTTGCATTGTAATATACATAGTGTGACAATTATGTTACTGTAACTTTCAACAGATTTTATGTTTCAGCAATCTGTAACAATCTAGTAACTGTTGAATGAAATAAATTCTAAATCTTTATATAATGTCAGGTGCAATAGCCACTTCCTGGAGTGGTACACAAAAGATGAACTACATGTATGATACTGGTAGCCTCTGTAATTTGTGTGGTTCAAGACAGTACCAACCTTCAGTAACTTTGTCACAGGAAGGAGTGCAGATACAGTCTCTACTGACAATTCTGGACCTGGATGGGAAAAAAATGAGTACATGTAACTACTAAAACCTTTTAATGTGCATTAAACACTCTGCATCCTGATTAGTAGAAAACAGTATAGCAGAGCTACAGTATTTGCAATGGACCACAAGGAAACAGTTACGTATGATCTTCCAAGGGTCCCCTAGCAGGAGAGGGTGGAATGGCAGTCTCTTCTTAGCCAGTAGGGGAGCCGTGACGAACTCGGTGAAAAGCTGCAACAACACAAAGCAGGGGATTCAGATCTAGAGGAAGTGGCTCAGAATCTCTTCTTCACAGCATACATTGTGTATCAATAACAATAATGACATAAATGTAAGTTTTGATGGAAACGATTAAATCCAAGATAAAAATATCTAGATTCAACTGTGTTGTATTCGAGTGGACTTGATTGGCACTTGTCACTCATTGCAAGATCCAAAGCAACATTTTTGATCAGGGAAATGCAAGAGGCATTGGTGTCCTTAGAAAAACTTAGATTTTTTTTTGGTATTATGACAGAAATGAAAACATCATTATGATTGTGCGTTTCAATCAGGTAATCTGTGTCTTGTTATATTTTGTCTGACCCTGACCTCTTCCCTCATGACCTCAATGAATTGACTATTTCAGGTTTCTTTAAACTTTAAGGGTCACACGAACAAACAACACAACATCTAGAACAGAATAGCAGATAATGTATACACAAATTAAGGGCCTATGGGGTATTTCCAAAAATTACACCACAATTTGAATGATTCAAAATATATGAAACATCATGAACAAAATTGATACAAGAATTCAAAATTGCCAAACATGCTCACCTTTCTGTCCTCCTCCTCCCCTGCGTCAGCACATGGTTTGAAGCTGAGTTCGTACTGCTCTGGGTCCTGTGTGCGCTTGTAATGCCACAGGAACTCCAGCAGCTCCAAGCCCTGTGAAAGAGACATCCATTTTATGAGGGGTTGTTCAAAAAGTTCTCAGCCTCAACCAAAAAA